CCATCTCCTCTTTCCCCTGTCACCTGTGTGTTCTCTGGTTACCATCCCCTGCCTTTGCTAATCTGCCTTCTTTTACCAGTGAAAGAGAGAACTAATTTACTCAACAAGATGGAGCTGTAAGAGTATTAAGCTGTTGTATCAAAAGAGAGACTCGAGCCCAATATGGCTTTAAACAAAAGTGGAATGACTGGTTTTGGTAGTCAGAGTACTGAATCTGTGTGTAAGCAGTCTGTCCAGGACTTTGCCACCAGCAGAAATTGAGTGTGCTGAGTATATATGTGTGTACGCAACTACAGAGATACATACAGAACTCTTTCAGCATCTTCTGACTCTGTGGACACCACAACAGCTGGCAGATCCAGTATCCAGATAGTTTCTGTCTCTGTGAGGTAAATATCCACTCTCCTATCTAAGTCTGCTTCTGTCAGTTCTTCTTTTATCTCCTCTTGTCTCACCTGCACATCTGAAAAATTAGATGAGATCCATAAGTGAGACCTTTTCTGCTCTAAATGTCAAAGAAGACAGATTAATTCTGATAGTATTGAATGATCAGTTGTGAGGCACTGAGTGAAGTGCCAGGCATCTCACACCCACAGACTGCAGTCTCACAAATCACAGTGCCCCAAAGAAAAATGAATTCTTTAATTATACAGCACATGTTCTTTACCAGGTAACTAGTGCTCCAAAGAAGAATTAAGCCTTTAATTATATAGCTTATGTTCTTTACCAGGGAAACTAACGGTTGTGTCCCCTTGAGAGCCAGGCTCTGACGTTTCATCCAGTATGGACTCAGCCGTTGAGGCGTTTGATGTAGAAGTGGTGCTGCTTCCATATGTCCTTCAGTAACAAAGAAATAAGCAGAAATAGTATGTGAGGGTCCAGATGTCAGTTAGCAAAATGCCACAAAAATAGCAGTGTTGTTACCAGGATGAACCACGAAGACTGTAAGCACATACGGTGATGGTTGTGTTGTGAAAGGAGTTGCAGAAGGCTTAGAAAAGAAAATAAATGGTTTGAAGAAGACTTAAAAAGGAAGAATTCCTCTGACAGCAAGTCCTGAGGAATTAAAGAGCTGCTGAAAAAGAAGCTACTGAGCTCTTGGATTCAGCCCTATCATATAGGAACATGAAGTGTTGGCTGCCCACTGTGTGATAAGGCTCACCCATAGACAGCGCCTGTCTCCACCAGGATTCACATCCTTTGGTACTTTGCATGCACTGAAAAGTCTTTGAAATGCACCAGAAACTATTTTGAAGGGATCAGCTTCTCAAAAACCATTGGTGATCACAGAAGGGATAGGTGTGAGAATGAGAGGTAAAACTCAAAACTTGGTACAGTTGGGAGGTTTGTCAGCAGGTTTTGTCTGCCTCAACAGCTGAGCATAAGCAGTTACACCAAAAGCAGTTGAAAAAGACAGTTTTTAAGGTTTGTATTTAAAACTAAAGTGAAATAGTTTCATTTTGCCTGTTAAATAAAGCCCTCTTGTCTCCAAAAACGATGTGTTTAGTTTTCAGGAGACACTTCTTATTCTTCGGTCGAATTTTTTGTGTCTGTTTGCTCCTGTTTAATATCCCCTCCTCTGGGATTATCCTTTCTAACAGCCAGCCTAGGAAACATGACAAGGAGAGAGTTCCCAAATTGCAATCCCTCCTTCTCAGACATCACCATGGCATTAACTTTGCCAAAGAAAACAGTAAATAAAGCTTTTCTTTGTGTTTTATCCCCAGTGCTGACTTCACCAGTCTTTTAGTCCCTTTGGACTAAATACATAACATCTTCTCTTGTGCAGTCTGAGCGAGCACACACCGTTTGATACACTGATGTGCTTCATTATGTTTCATTTGAAACACAAATAGTCCTTTACCTTCATTTGCATTACTTAATTGAATCTCTCACCCCAAGAGAAAATGGCTTAAGTCCATTGACTTTGTTTATTCCCTCTGTACTGAAGGTTTGTAAATAAAGCTCCTAAGTAGTGAAACATGTAATTCAGCAGCTCTAACTCAAATGTTTTTGTGTGAGTGCATCTTTTGAAATGGATGCACATAATCACAGAGTGTTAAATCGCTTAAATTGGTTTCAAATAGAGGATTCTTACTGTGTTAACAGTGTGTAGGTATTTGAACTGAGACGTTCAAGTTTGTAAAAAGGACTTTCTGTATTTAAGAAGTGTCATTAAAACAGACAAAATACAATAAATTTGCAGCTCTTCACTGAAACCAGGCATCATGTTTCCCATCCCACAGATGGGAGGGTGTTGGTATATTCCAGTTTTGAAAAAAAAAACCAACCCAAGATTATGAAAGGCAGAAAGGATCTGAAGTAGCTAAAGGAAGTGTATTAACAAGCTACAGGTGCCCCACCTCCACTGCACAGCCTTGTTTGGACAACCAGAACCCAACCAGACCATTGTCTCTTCAGTGTCTAAACAGTGTTTTATGGTGTGCCTGTGTAGGTTCTGTTGTAACTTCGTGTGCAGCCCTCACCCGTACAAAGCCTGCTGTTCTGGTAGCTGTTGTTTTGAACCATGAGGTGCTCATTGTGATCTCTAAAAGTGGTCCATTGTGGTATGTTACCTAAACATATGTGGTTTAGGAATCACAGAATCCCAGCCTGGTTTTGTGTTGGAAGGGACCTTAAAGCTCATCCAGTTCCAATCCCTGCCATGGGCAGGGACCCCTTCCACTAGAGCAGCTTGCTCCAAGCCCCTGTGTCCAACCTGGCCTTGAACACTGCCAGGGATGGGGCAGCCACAGCTTCTCTGGGCACCCTGTGCCAGCGCCTCAGCACCCTCACAGGGAAGAGCTTCTGCCTAAGAGCTCAGCTCAGTCTCCCCTCGGGCAGGTTCAAGCCATTCCCCTTGGCCTGTCCCTACAGGCCCTTGTCCCAAGCCCCTCTCCAGCTTTCCTGCAGCCCCTTTAGGCACTGGAGCTGCTCTCAGGTCTCCCCTTCAGGAGCCTTCTCTTCTCCAGGCTGCCCCAGCCCAGCTCTCTCAGCCTGGCTCCAGAGCAGAGCTGCTCCAGCCCTCGCAGCATCTCCATGGCCTCCTCTGCACTCACTCCAACAGCCCCATGTCCCTCTTGTGCTGTTGCCCCAGAGCTGGATCAGGGCTGCAGGCAGGGTCTCTGCAGTAGAGGAGGAGAATCAAAGGAGAATGTGAGTGAAATTAGAGATATCACAGGAGTGTGTGCCCCAGTCTGCTTCCACCTCTGAGCATTTCAGCAGGAGTTCCAACACAGTCATGAATACAGACAAATTCTGTTCATTGTACTTGTGCTAGTCCCCAGATTTTAAGGGAAGACTGACAAGCGTGTTTCTGTACTTGGACAGCCCTGCACAGTAACTCCAGCTCCAGAGCTCTCTGAAGAGCAGGAGTGTGGCTGCTTTAGGTTTGAAGTCAGATTTAAGAACCAGTGCATTGACTTACCATGAGAGGGAGGCTAAACTAGTCCTTGATAGCTGCTGCGTGGGAAAAAGAGCAAGCAAAATGGATCCTGTGGCTCCAGAGAGCTTTTCTTGCCTGAGTGCAGCAGTACTTGGGTCTGACTGGAAGAGTGGATGGGGTGTCACATCCTTTCCTTCATCAAAAACCTGGAGAAATACTTAAATAGTTACAATAGTTCCACTGTTTCCCCACAACAAGTGACAGTGATGACACTTGCAACATTTTATCTCATCTGGAACAGGAAGATGGCCTGGGTCCAGGCAGGAAGCTGGCAGAAAGGATGGGAGAGCCCTCTGGAACTCTCTCTATAGAAATGGCTGCAAATAGCTGGAAAAACTGTATCTGTCTGGATGTCAGACCCACTTCCTCTCCTTGGTCAGCACTAGTGTCTCTTTCAAATTATTATTATTATTATTATTTAAATGACTATTATTCTATAATCTCTATAGTATTAGTCTGTAATGACTACCAACTGGCTTGTGGACTGTGTGTCCTCAACAGTGCAGCAAAAGCAACAAAGGAACAATTGTGCATAATTTTTATTGTACTGCTCAGATTATTTTCTTGTAAGGAAGTATTCAGGAAGGTCTTTAAACAACAGATCACGGTTTTAGGTGAAGACAGAGAAGTGCTACAGGCAACGTCTCACATGGATTTGGAAGCCAGTAGTTGTCAGATTAGGATGAGGGCTGTTACTCTTAAATTTTTACTACTGGAGATTAGTTTTGGACACTCATAATTGCCATTTCAGAACAGATTAAGCTCTCTGATCATTTTCTTCCTCCACAGCTCACGTTCAGACAAACCTTTCCTTTCCTCTTCCCTCTTCCACTTCCTGACAGCTTTTAACACCCACCATAAATAAATATTCCTAACTGTTGGGAGTAGTGTAACTGTCTCCTCACCCGTATGATGTACTTGTCTGCAGTCCTCTCGGACGTGGTGGACTGGCTTCTGCAGCTCCCCGCTCTGTACCTGTAGATGCTGCTTGCGATGCTCCCCTGTCTGTAACTGTAAAAACTTGTTCTCGAAGGTTGCTTGAGCCTGGAATTGGCCACAGAAGTTTTGTTTCGATCAGTAAAACCTGAACAGGCAAACACAAGCACTGAGCTACTCATCTCTTAACTTTCAGGAATGGTTTAAGGGACGTGAATCTTCAAACTAGGCCAGGTTGGTCGGAGCTCGGAGAAAGCTGCTCTAGTGGAAGGTGTCCCTGCCCCTCGCAGGGGGCTGGAACTGGATGAGCTTATTGACGGGAACTGATGTGGCAATGAAGGGGCAAGGGGTGCAGCGAGTGGGGCTGCTGTGGCGGGGTGCCCAGGGCCCTCCTTCCCCCCCTCCTCCCGGCACGCCTGGAGCCGCTGGCCCCGTACTCACGTAGGACCCCGCCGGCCTCCGCCGGGGCCCTGCATGGCGACAACCAGGGCCGTGCCACCGCGTCGAGCGGTAACCACGGCAACGCGCCCCCAAGACGCGGCGCAGGGATTGGCTGCCAAGGACGGCGCCGCCGATAGGCCGTGCGGCAGCGCGGGCTGCGCTGTGCTCCCCCCTACCCACCCCGCGGCCGCCCGCCTGAGGAGGGACCCCGCGGGGCCGCGGCCTGCCCGTGCCTGGGCCCCTCTCCGCGCCCGCCTCGGCCTCGGCTCAGGTCTCCGCCGCCCCCCGCCCAGTCCGGGGCTCCTCCCCTGCCGCCAGCCCCCGCGCCCCCTTTGTCACTGAAGCACAAAGGTCCTCGTCGGCCCGGGGGAGACTGGAGCTCCCTCCGTAAAGCTCTGCCCCGGTGGCGGGGATCGGAGCAGGTCTGGGCTTTCGGAGGGGGGAGGATTGGGGGGGATGAGGTGGCCCAGTTGCTGTGCCGCGGGCGCGTTTTGAGGGCGTGAAACGCGTTTGGTCGGGAAAACTGCCGGGAGAACCGCGGTCGTCAGTGACCTGTGCGCGGGCAGAGCGGGACGGAGCCGCCGCAGGCCCGGCAGGGCTCCCCGAGGCGCTCCTTGCCGTTACCGGCGCTGTGATGCCGGACTGCTGCATCAGGAGCTCTCTTCCCCTTTGCCAGCAGGACCGTGCTTGTCCTTGCGCCAGCGCTGGGACAGAACCGAGCCTGGGCGGGTGAGGCAGCCGGGGGAGGATTTAGGGAGAAAAAAGCAGCAGAATTAGGTCTGGGCGCTTGTTTGGGGGTTTGTTTTTAGTGTTTTCCTTCACATAGGACCAACATAACGCTGCCGGGGTCACCCCGCCGGGAGCCCCCCACCACGCTCCCTGAGGACCTCGCAGCGCGCCGGGACAGCTTCCCCCACCTCACCGCGTGAGTACGGCTGCCGGGGGACAGCAGCCAGGTGGGAGGCAGCGGCACCGGGTGCGGGGGACCCCGCCTGTGGAGCCGGTCCCTCCGTGGGTCCCGCCCGGCGCCGCCGCCTCAGCGCTGACAGCCCGGGGGCGGGGCTTCGCGCCTTGAGTGACAGCTGCTGGCGGCGCGCGCCCGTGCGCGGTGACGTCGTGCGTGGCGTGCCCCCTCCTTCCAGTCCCTCCCGCCGCTCCGCTCCGCTCCGCCGCCGCGCAGACCGTGACCCGCCGGCGCCGCTTCCTCCGCCGCGGCGGCGATGTGACCCCTCCCCGGGCCTGCCCCCCCCGCGCCGCCGCCGCCCGCCCGCGCAGCCAACATGGCGGAGGTGAGAGCGCGGCGGGGCGGGGGCCCGCCCGGGAACTTGTTGCGCGGGGCCGCGGCCGGGCGGAGCGTCCCATAAGTTAGTTGTGGGGCCGGGGAGGCCGCGCCGGGCACCGGGCCGCCCGCTCACCCCCCTCCGGGGCCTGCTGCCCCGGGACGGGGAGACGAGCCCCGGGGGGCCGGGCCCGCCTCGGCGGCGGGGCGCGGGCGGGACCTGAGCGCGGCCCGGGCGAGCGGGCCGGGGGCTTGGAGGCGGTGGCTCCCGCCCCAGGGCGGCACCGGGCTGGGGTCTGCGCCTCGTCCGCGAGCCGGGGAGGCGAGGCTCTGTGGGCGACAGCGGCCGAGGGGCGATGCTGGAGAGGGGCCCCGCGCTCGGGCAAGGGGGGAGCGGGGCCTGTGCCGCCCGCGGGACGGGGCTGAGCTTTGCTGCGGTGGGAAGTGGGGCAGCTTTACCTGCTGTGGCGGGGGGAGTGCGAGCCCTTCGGGGTGGAGAGGGATGCGCCTCTTGCCGGCTCCGGCCGTCTGTCCCAGCGCGAAAGAATCGCTTCTCCCAGGCTTTAACAAGAGCACCGTTGCTTGAGGTTAAAACGTATATTTAAATACCTTCTTGTAGTCGTTAGAACAAAGGGGAATTGCCTTTACAGGTAGAACGGTGTCTCCTGGGAGGGGAGACCTTTCTCCTGAAGAAGGCAAAAGGGCTATTCAGAGGGGTTGCAGGAAATGGGAAAAGGCTTGTTGACCTCTTTTCTTATGTGGGAGGCAGAGCGAGATACGTGTTTGATTATTGAGGTGTGGATTTGTCCATCCCGATAGGATCTGGGTGAACAGCTCTTTTGCTTCTTAGGAGGCAAGTTAGGACAGATGAATAGATGTTTCATTAAGTTTTCTTCAAATGATCCCAAGATTCCAATCTGAAGGTAATTTGCTGCTTGAGCAGTGTTGACAAATGGATTGGAAATGCTTGTTTGAAAGGTATGCTGTTAAAGCAACAACAACCAACACCTCGCTTGTGTGGGACGGGAGTTTCTTCCAGCCAGGCTGGGGGGATGTTCAAGGTGCTGGGTTCAGAATATTTTATAGATGAGGTTTTTTCCTTCTTCCCTTGAAATTCCTGAATATGTATGGCTTTTTACTGAGATTTATTTTATCTTTCCCCCCCAAATGAAAACCATAATGAAGCATTCTTCCTGTTATTTGTACAGCATGTACTAATCTAATCTTAGAAGTTTAAAGGATCTGCCTGGGCTTTTTTTTTACTGTATCTCAAGGGGCAGAGAATCACAGGTCTGATCTCTGAGCTATTCCTTGGCCAAAAACCCATAGCTATTAAATCCCTGTGCTCTGTGAAGTGGCGGAGGCGCACTGGGGCCCGTGCTGGTGTAGGCATCGTCGTATTCAGGGCTTGAGTCTCAAGTTTCACCAATTGCTTGTAAGTTTAGTTAATTAAACGCAGCGTTATTGTGAAATCCTCCTGCTTAGCTCTTTTCTGGGGGGAGCTGAAGTCACCATGTTGCTGAAGAGGCACGGGCAGGACGCTGCAGTACTTCCTATTCTCTGTTGTCACGTACTTGCACTGACATTGCAGCACTGATAGCATTGAGAGTTGGAGGGGCCTCGTGCTGCAGAGAGCAGTGAAAGGTCCATGGGTTATGGAGGTCAGGCAGGTTCTGGGTTTCACCTCGTGGATGGTGCTCCAACAGGTCAGGCTTCTATTATGTGTTGGTTTTGATATTTTACTAAGAAACTAAGAGTTTTGTGGTTTTCCCCCCTCCCCCTCAGCATTTGGCTTCTGTGAAGAAAAGCAAAGGCAAATTCTTTGTCCTATTTTGGCTTCTTGATTTGAGGTTAAGGGGCAGGAGCAGCATCAAGGGGCTGTGAGAGCTTTGATCCACCTGTGGGATGAGTTCAGTAGCACAGGGGTGGCAGCAACAGCTCCGCTGACATTCCTTCACAGCCACTGAGCCCTGGACACAACTGTTTGCATGGCTGCTCTGCCTTCTGCTTTGGGAATAATTGGAATTTGAAAGATAATAAGGCTTTCTGTCAGTGATTTAAGCTTGGAGCAATGTCCTCAGTATGGTTCCTAGCACAATTTGGGAAATATCAGGGATAGGATGGGAAGTCTCAGTGAATGGTGTCAGCCATCTGCCTGGAGGAACTGAAGGCAACTGCCGCTACGTGGTGGTGTGCTGAAGGAGGGGGTGTTGGGATAATGCTATGTTGACTGGGAATAAGGGAAAACTGATCCTTCAGGCAGCCCTAGGACTTGCCTGTTGCAGCACACAAGGAGCCTGGGATCAGCCTGGGTTAAAAATGTGGGTGGAAAAATGATGCTGCTGTTGTGTCTCCTGCCCTCTTCCCATTGCTTCCCAGTGGAAAGTATCACTCCAGCTCTTCTGAAGGGATGCACAGGAACTCATCCCTTAGGAAAATGATTTTAGGTGTAAAGAATCAGCCAGGATTTAATGCTGGAGATACAAACATCAGCAATTAAATGATACCAATATGAACCGTTTTGCCTTTGACAGGAAGGCTCTTCAGACAGGAGCTCTGAACCCGGGTAATGAGTATATGAGCCAGAAACTGAAACTAAATTAACAAAAATTGCATTTCACTTTCACAGAAACACCAGTTTGAGTAAAGGACAGACCAAACCCAAAAGATTTTGATTATATCTTAAACTGGTTTTAGCTTTGGGGTTAATGGCCTGTGCTAGAGCTTCATTTTACTTCAAAGCATGCTCACGTGACTGGTTTGAGTCCTCATATTCCACCACGTTAGAAGATTGTTCGAGTCTTAAATCAGACAGAAAACATGTTGAACTTACGACCAGCTCAGGCTTTGTGAATATCACTGTATCATGTATTCAGCTGCTTATTTAGTCTTTGTGGAGGAGTGAATGCTGATACATATTTTTCCCAAGCACGAGTGTTTTAATGCCTATTGAGAAGAAAAGATTTTTGGACTGAAAAGCTTGGTAGGTGAAAGCGAATGGGGTTTTTTGTTTATTCAGCCATTATAATGTCTGAATAAATTGTCAGAATGAGATCTTCTGATTCAAAGAACTTGCAGAACCCAGGTCAGACTTTTGTGTTGGAGGTGCGGGCAGCTAAATAATGCCTATAATTTCCAGATGTGCTGAATTCCTGCTGTTACTTTGTTTCGTGCCGTGATAGGATGCATCAGTCAGGTTACTGCAGGCATTTGCCAGGATACTGAAGAGGCAAAAGTCATGGGAAAATAGCGAGGGTTTGTGCTGGTTGGTTTTACTAAATCTGAAGAGTACCAGGGCTGCTGCATGGGAAGGAGGGTGGTCTTGTTTGGTCAGAGGTGGGGTGGGAGAGTTAGGGATGTAGTATCATAGAATCCCAGACTGATTTCTGTTGGAAGGGACCTTAAAGCTCCTCCAGCTCCAACCCCTGCCACGGGCAGGGACCCCTTCCACTGGAGCAGCTTGCTCCAAGCCCCTGTGTCCAACCTGGCCTTGAGCACTGCCAGGGATGGGGCAGCCACAGCTTCTCTGGGCACCCTGTGCCAGCGCCTCAGCACCCTCACAGGGAAGAGCTTCTGCCTAAGAGCTCAGCTCAGTCTCCCCTCGGGCAGGTTCAAGCCATTCCCCTTGGCCTGTCCCTACAGGCCCTTGTCCCAAGCCCCTCTCCAGGTTTCCTGCGGCTCCTTTAGGCACTGGAGCTGCTCTCAGGTCTCCCCAGAGCACAGCAGTGGGGCAGGATCCCCTCCCTGAGCTGCTGCTCACACTCTGGGGGTACAGCACAGCACACAGGGGTGTTCTGGGCTCAAACACACACTGAAGCTGGCTCATGGGGAGCTTCTTGTCAACCAGATTTTGTTGTTGCCTTTAATTGGCATAGGTTGGTGTAAATTTCAAGCAGATGTTAATTATGGCTTGAGGGGCTATGGAAACAGTCGAGGTGTCTAGCAGCTCCTAGCTGCCTGAAAGGGGAGACCCTGCTCCTCCTGCTGCCTTTGTGTAGGTGCTCCCAGAGCTTCTGTGGGTTCATCCAGCTCACTGGCTCAGAAGTGAAGAGCTTCCTGCGGGGTAACCAGTTGTATCAGCTCATGGAAAGATCCAGCAGACTCGAGTGGGTATGAGGGGTGATGTGAGGCAGCAGAGCCAGT